CTTTTTCTTTCTATTTTTTTTTTTGAGACAGAGTCTCACTCTGTTGCCTGGGCTAGAGTGCCATGGCATCAGGCTAGCTCACAGCAACTTCAAACTCCTGGGCTCAAGCGATCCTTCTGCCTCAGCCTCCCGAGTAGCTGGGACTGCAGGCATGCACCATCATGCCCGGCTAATTGTTTCTATATATTTTTAGTTGGCCAATTAATTTCTTTGTATTTATAGTAGAGCCGGAGTCTCGCTCTTGCTCAGGCCGATCTCGCTCTTGCTCAGGCTGATCTCAAACTCCTGACCTTGAGGAAGCTGAGGCAGCAGGATCGCTTGAGCCCAGGAGTTTGAGGTTGCTGTGAGCTAGGCTGACATCATGGCACTCACTCTAGCCTAGGCAACAAAGTGAGACTCTGTTTCAAAAAAAAGAAACAAAAACCCACTGATGACCACACAAAAACTTGTGATGAATATTTGTAGCAGCTTTATTTATAAGTTGGAAACAGCCAAGATGTCTTTCAGTAGGCAAATGAATAACCAAACTGTGGTGTATTATTCAGAACAAAAAAGAAATAAGCTATCTGCCACAAAAAGACATGGAGGAAACTTAAATGCACATCACTAAGTGAAAGAAGGCAGTGTGAAAAGGCTACATACTGTATTTATGCTCCGACTATGTGACATTCTGGAAATGGCAAAGCTATAGGGATAGTAAAAAGATCAGTGGTTTCCAGAGGTTCTGGGGGAGGAAGGAAGGATCAGTAGCTGGAACACAGAGGATTTTTAGCCCAGTGAAACTATTCTGTATGATACTGTAATGGTAGATACATGACATTACGCATTTGTCAAAACCTGTAGAACTAAGCAACAGGAAGAGTGAACTCTAATATAAACTATAAACTTTAGGGGGCGCTCCGTCTCCCCGGGGCAACCCGCACCTCAGTGGCTCGTGCGAGTGGGAGCGCATCCTCGAAGCCCCGCCCCAATTCTCAGGCCCCAGAACAGGCTGCCCATCCTCCGAGCTCCACTGGGCGGGAGGACGTGAGCTGGGCAGAGACTCGGGTAGCGTCCCCGCTGGCCTCCCTCCCATCTGTGCAACAAGGTCCTTGTCCTGCCTCTCCACCTTGTTGAGGGGACTCGGACGTGTAAAGGATGCCCCAATCTCCCTGTAAACCCCAGCACCGAGCCGCACGTGTTTCTGTCATTGCTGTTATCCTCGTCCTCCCCGCCACTGTCTCTGTGCAGGTTCTCCGGAGCCTGGAGCTAGTCCTCAGGGAGCGGGTCTTTGCCTCCTGATCGTACCCCTCTGGGCCTTAGTCCCCACAAGGTTTAATCCACCCTTTCCAGCCTGAGGTTCAATCCCCAGCTCCCTCAACAGAACCAAGAGGGGAAGCCCAGCCCTGTGGAGCCAATGGGAGCCTGAACTTCCCACATTGGACTCTGACCTGCTGTGTGACCTCCGGCAGGTCACCGTCTCTCTCTGCACCATGGATTTGTCTCATTGGTAAAGTGGAGCAGAACCATGCCTTTGGCCACCAGAACAGACAGACAAATTCATTGGCAAGGAACAAATGAAAAAAAAACGTAAAAAGGGCTATGCTCATTAGTGTTTAGTCATTAACATTGACTGTAACCACGGTGTGGTTGGAGTCAGGTTTACCCTTTTATTACTGATTCTGTGCTCATCTCCACTTTGTTTCTCTTTCCCTGCCTTCTTTTCAATATAGTTAAATCTATTTTTAGAACTTCATTTTTGTTCATCTGTTGTCATTAGCTGTACTTCTTTGTAATTAGTTTTTTTATTATCATTTTAGGTGCTCCACCTAACGATTACAAAACATATTCTTAACTTGTAACCTTGTGTCTGTGTAGGTCTCTGCCCTCTCTTACTGTCCTCTGTTATAGTTGTCATATGTATTATTACATCTACATACATTATAAACTCCACAATGCAATATCATATTTTTTTGCTTTAAGGAATCTGATGTATCTTAAAGAAAATAAAATGAGAAATAGAATCTTAATTAAAAAATAAATGGGCTGGGTGAGGTGGCTCATGCCTGTAATCCTAGCACTCTGGGAGGCCGGGGCAGGAGGATTGCTTGAGCTCAGGAGTTCAAGACCAGCCTGAGCAAGAGTGAGACCCCCGTCTCTCACTATAAATAGAAGAAATATAGCCAAACAACTAAAAATAGAAAAAATTAGCCAGGCATGGTGGCGCATGCCTGTAGTCCAGCTGTTCGGGAGGCTGAGGCAGGAGGATCACTTGAGCCCAGGATTTGAGGTTGTGTGAGGTAGGCAATAGAGACTCTGTTTCAAAAAAAAATAAAACAAAAAAACTATAGTTAGTGTATCAATATTATTTTGTAACAGATGTACAGTACTAATGCAAGCTGTCAATCATAGGAAACTGTGTGGTAGGGCGAGGTTATGTGGAACTCTGTACTTTCTGTTCAAATTATCTGTAAACCTAAAAACTGCTCCAGAAATAGTTAATAACTTTTTTTTTTTTTAAAGGTCCTTCTGGCCAGGCACGGTGGCTCAAGCCTGTAATCCTAGCACTCTGGGAGGCTGAGGCAGGAGGATCACTTGAGACCCAGCCTAAGCAAGTGCCAGACCCCTTCTCCACCAAAAATAGAAAAATTAGTCAGGCATCATGGCACACATCTGTAGTCCCAGCTACACGGGAGGCTAGGCAGGAGGATCACTTGAGCCCAGGAGTTGGAGGTTGCCTGTGAGCTAGGCTGACACTGTGGCACTCTACTCAGGGCGACAGAGGAGACTGTCTCAAAAAAAAGCCATTCTGTGGACTGTTTTATTTATCTAAAAATCCTTTATTCATTAATCATTGATTCCAAGGTAGTGCATCCATATTTTTTATTCTACAGTGAAAGGTGTATTTGGGGCAAAATAAGGGGCTGAGCTGAATGGCTTTGTAGGGTACAGAAATTAGAAGACACAGTGGGTCAATCAGAGTTAGAGAGAGAAGTGAGCAAGACTTGAAACTTCTTGGGAAAGAAGATATCTACAGAGGAAAGACTTTGGGGTGAAAGAAGTGTTTAAGTGGTTTGGAGAGGTATTTAAGTTCTTTGCTATGGGATGTGTGGGATGTAACCTCCATCTCTGTCTTCCATAGGTAATTCAATAAAGTCTCTATCATTCTCTAATGCTTTTGTTCCAGTAGATTATTTGGAGGATTTCAATAGATGTAGAATTCTTCATCAGGTTTCAAAGGTGAAAAGACAAGGTTATTTCTGGGCATGCTGGAGGTAGAGGCAAAGGGCGGACAGCTGATATCTGGGTCACTGAAGAAAGCACAGAAGCCTCTAGAGTTCCAGTTAAAGATGATGGATTGAACCACATACAACTCTACTTTTCCTGAAATCTCTAAAACAATGAGTAAAAAAACACTTTAACATAAAATTCAAAATCAAAAAGTTATAGAAAAAGACACAAGACCACCCAAGCGAGAACAGAGGCAATTTATTCAGAGCTCGCCATAGCAAGGAGATAGTCACCATACATGATTGGCAGAGACTTGAGGGATACACATTGCTCTTGCTCAGGCTGGTTTCAAACTCCAGATCTCGAGCAATCCGCCCGCCTCGGCCTCCCAGAGTGCTAGGATTATAGGCGTGAGCCACTACGCCCGGCCTCTCTCTCTTTCTTTAGAGATAGGGTCTTGCTCTGCTTCCCAGGCTGGAGTACAGTGACTCAATCATAGCTCACTGCAGCCTCTAACTCCTGGGCTCAAGCAATCCTCTTGCCTTAGCCTTTCAAGAAGCTTGGATTACAGGTGCATACCACTACACTTAATTTTTTTTTATAGATGTGGGTCTCACTATGTTACCCAGGCTTAAGTCCTACCATTGGCCAGGCCTGATGGCTCACACCTGTAATCCTAGCACTTGGGGAGGCTGAGGCAGGTGGATCGCTCAAGGTCAGGAGTTCGAGACCACTCTGAGCAAGAGCGAGACCCCGTCTCTACTACAAATGGAAAGAAATTAATTGGCCAACTAAAAAATGTATATATATAAAAAATTAGCCAGGCATGGTGGCGCATGTCTATATAGTCCCAGCTACTTGGGAGGCTGAGGCAGGAGGATTGCTTGAGCCCAGGAGTTTGAGGTTGCTGTGAGCTAAAGCTGACACCATGGCACTCTAGCCTGGGCAACAGAAGTGAGACTGTGTCTCAAAAAAAAAATCCATAGCGAAAAGATAATAAAAAAGAAGAAGACAATCCAATAAAAAGAGACATTTCTCAAAAGGGGAAATACAAATGGCCAAAAATCATGAAAAGATGCTCAATCTCACTAGTAATTAAGGGAATACAAATTAAAACAGTGATGAGAAATCATTTTCCAGTTACCAGATTGGCAAAAATACAAGAGATTAATACCATCAAATGTTTAAAAGAGCATGGGGGCAATGGACATTATTATACAATGTTGGTGGGCAGTTTGGCGTTATTAAATGTCCACACTCTCCCACCTAGCAATTCCACCTGTGGGTATCTATCTTTAGTTAAGTGCTCACATGTGGTCTCCTCCACTCCCTGGGGCTGACCCATTCCTTCTCCGGAATGTTAAAAAAAAATGCTCACATGGGCACACAGAGGCATGTGGAAGACTATTGTCTGCCACACCCTGTCTGTGAAAAACTAGCAACATGGAAACTACTGAATTTCACATACTATGGAACTTACAGAGCTTGCAAAAAGAATAGATCTCAATGCATTGATAAAAGATGCCATGATCCATTTTTACCCATAAAGTGTAAAGTTACTGAATACATACAATATAATGTATTTGTATATTTTTACATTTGTAAAAGTTTAACACAAAATCTTACAAACATATATCTTATATGTATACACACTTATCAATAAACTCAAAGAAAAAGAAGTAGAAAAATACACCCAACTGACAACAGTTCTTACTTTGAGGAAAGGGACTGTTAAAGAAGAAAATATGGGCTGGGCGCAGTGGCTCACGCCTGTAAATCTAGGAGGCCAAGGCAGGTGGATTGTTTGAGCTCAGGAGTTTAAGATCAGCCTGAGCAATAGGGAGATTCCGTCTCTACTAAAATAAATAGAAACAAATTAGCTGGACAACTAAAAATATATAGATAAAATTAGCCAGGCAAGGTGGTGCATGCCTGTAGTCCCACCTACTTGGGAAGCTGAGACAGGAGGATCGCTGGAGCCCAGGAGTTTGAAGTTGTTGTGAGCTAGGCTGACGCCACCGCACTGTAGCCCCGGCAACAGAGTGAGACTCTGTCTCAAAAGAAAAAAAGAAGAAGAAGAAGAAATGGAGATGGATAAAATTAGATCAAAGAGAATCTGTCTTGTTTAAAACTTTTACATAAAATTTTTTTACAAGATTGTATGCACATAAAGGGGCACAGTGGCTCATTCTGTAATCCCAGCTACTGGACCTGAGCGCGAGAGGTCGCTTGAGCCCAAAGTCGGAGGCCAGCCCAAGCAAGAGCGAGATCCCATCTCTACTAAAAATAATAATAATAAATTACAGAATAAAAAAGATTGTATGACAGACTATGACTAAAATAATATTTTAAAATATTTTTAAATATATATTTAAAATATATTTAAAAATATATATATTTTAAAAATATATTTGAGGCAGTGGCTCAGGTCTGTAATCCTAGCACTCTCGGAGGCAGAGGCAGGAGGATAGCTGGAGCTCAGGAGTTTGAGGTTGCAGTGAGCTATGATGATGATAATGCCACTGCACTCTAGCCCGGGTACTGGTAACAGAGTGAGACCTTGTCTCAAACCAACCAACCAACCAACAAACAAAACAACAAACAAAAAAAAATTGTGAACAAGCTCAATTGACCAACTTAATCATTCTTCCCTTATTAAACTTCCTTTTCCAGCATATCCTAATCCGATAATTAACAAAACCGTTCTGTGCAATCTTCTATCCTTGTAATACAACTAAAAAAAGTATAAAAATTTTGTTTCAAGGACTGGGTAACATAAAGAGTCTGAGTCCAAACGAATATCAAAAGCTTATAAAGGTTTAGGTTGTTTTATTGTAATGAGCAATTTTGTAATAATTGTAATAAATTTATTTGATCTCTCCCAGGGATGTGAAAAGTGAAAAGGTGGTCCAGCAAGGCTAGAGCAGCGGGTGTTGTCTGGTAAGAAAAGGATGGTAACAGGTTGGGGCTGGGAAAATAGGTACCCACGAATCCAGGGAACGAAACTGTAGCTGTGGGCGCGTGGAACATTCAGCGCGCCGAGTTACCAGGTGTTGCAGGCGGGGCCTCTTTTGGCTGACTGGGTCAAGAGTCCCAAAGGTTAGGTAAGTGCTTCTAAAAAAAAAGAGGGTCGGAGACAGGAGGCCCAAGAGGGCGTGGGAGACTTCGGGAGATGGTGAGGACCCCTTAGCACACCAGGGTGCAGCACCGCCCGCCGTGGGTGAGGGGGCGAAGAGGCACCTGGATGGAGGAGGGCAGGAAGAGGGCAGGGCGGACCTGCGTGTTCAATTGCCCCCCCGCACACATGACACCCCCACTCCACGAACCTCTCTTAGTCCGCACTGAAAACCCCCTGCACCCTACGCACAATCCGGTTGAAACACCTAGCCTATCCCTGAGCCTCACTTACCTGCGCTCCTGATGGGGCCCGCACACCTACAGCATCTCACGCTAAAGACCTGGAACCTCTACGACGCCTGTGCGCACCTACCCGGATCCACTAAGGTGAAGCCACTTCCGGTGGAAGTAGCCCCGGGGTATGTAAATGGGGGACGCCATGTTGCACGGAACCGGCTGGAGACTCTGTTGCCTCTCCAGCACTGCGGAGCAAAGGATAGTTAAATTGGAACGGCTTAATATCTTTTCAGAAAAGGGTGCTTTATTTCCGGGACTCTTTTTTTTTTTTTTCGCCAGTAGAGACATTCGCCATGTTGCCCACGCTGCTCTCGAACACTTGGGCTCAAGTGAGTCTCCCGCTCAGCCCCGAAAGTGCAGGGATTAGAAGCGTGAGCACCGCCCTGGCCAATTTTGGTTTTAGTTTGGAGGCAGAAGCCTCTAGAACCCTCACAAATGCAATATAGGACATCTAACATTCATTCTTATTATCCGGGTAGTGTTCTCTGCTACATAAATTTCTAACTGCTAAATGATGACGGTAAATAGGAGAGATACTTTAAGTAATGTATTTCTCATTAGCAATGCCTACTATCCTATAGCCATTATAATAGGTTGTGCCATTTTTCATAACAATAGCCACAATGCTTCCATTTATATATGGTTCATTCACTTTGTCTTTATTTGCAGCTAATGCGTGCTATATGCTGTTCCTTTGTTATGGAATGTGTAAAACAGAGAAACTTAGTTGTGCATAAAAAACCAATGTAAAGCATAATAATGGCCATTTGTGGACCATGTGCTCACTGTGTGCTAGGAACTTTGAAAAGTGTTTTACTTATTTTATCTCATTTAATCTTCATAATAATGCCATGTGGTGATACTATTATATTATTAGTGCCATTTTACATAAAGTAGAGAAAGGTTAAATAACTTTCTTGAGGTAATTCAGCAAGTAAGCATTGAAGCTAGGAATCACATCTAGGTATGTCTGATTGCAAAACTTGGTGCCCTCATCCACTATTTTTTTTCTTTTTCTTTCTATTTTTTTTTTTTGAGACAGAGTCTCACTCTGTTGCCTGGGCTAGAGTGCCATGGCATCAGGCTAGCTCACAGCAACTTCAAACTCCTGGGCTCAAGCGATCCTTCTGCCTCAGCCTCCCGAGTAGCTGGGACTGCAGGCATGCACCATCATGCCCGGCTAATTGTTTCTATATATTTTTAGTTGGCCAATTAATTTCTTTGTATTTATAGTAGAGCCGGAGTCTCGCTCTTGCTCAGGCCGATCTCGCTCTTGCTCAGGCTGATCTCAAACTCCTGACCTTGAGGAAGCTGAGGCAGCAGGATCGCTTGAGCCCAGGAGTTTGAGGTTGCTGTGAGCTAGGCTGACATCATGGCACTCACTCTAGCCTAGGCAACAAAGTGAGACTCTGTTTCAAAAAAAAAGAAAACAAAAAAACCCCACTGATGACCACACAAAAACTTGTGATGAATATTTGTAGCAGCTTTATTTATAAGTTGGAAACAGCCAAGATGTCTTTCAGTAGGCAAATGAATAACCAAACTGTGGTGCATCCATACAGTGGAATATTATTCAGAACAAAAAAGAAATAAGCTATCTGCCACAAAAAGACATGGAGGAAACTTAAATGCACATCACTAAGTGAAAGAAGGCAATGTGAAAAGGCTACATACTGTATTTATGCTTCCGACTATGTGACATTCTGGAAATGGCAAAGCTATAGGGATAGTAAAAAGATCAGTGGTTTCCAGAGGTTCTGGGGGAGGAAGGAAGGGATCAGTAGCTGGAACACAGAGGATTTTTAGCCCAGTGAAACTATTCTGTATGATACTGTAATGGTAGATACATGACATTACTCATTTGTCAAAACCTGTAGAACTAAGCAACAGGAAGAGTGAACTCTAATATAAACTATAAACTTTAGGGGGCGCTCCCTGTCTCCCGGGCAACCCGCACCTCAGTGGCTCGGTGCGAGTGGGAGCGCGTCCTCGAAGCCCCCGCCCCCAATTCTCCAGGCCCCAGAACAGGCTGCCCATCCTCCGAGCTCCACTGGGCGGGAGGACGCGAGCTGGGCAGAGACTCGGGTAGCATCCCCCGCTGGCCTCCCCTCCCCATCTGTGCAACAAGGTCCTTGTTCCTGCCTCTCCACCTTGTTGAGGGGACTCGGACGTGTAAAGGATGCCCCAATCTCCCTGTAAATCCCAGCACTGAGCCGCACGTGTTTCTGTCATTGCTGTTATCCTCGTCCTCCCCGCCCACTGTCTCTGTGCAGGTTCTCCGGAGCCTGGAGCTAGTCCTCAGGGAGCGGGTCTTTGCCCTCCTGATCGTACCCCTCTGGGCCCTTAGTCCCCCTCAACAAGGTTTAATCCACCCTTTCCAGCCTGAGGTTCAATCCCCAGCTGCCCTCAACAGAACCAAGAGGGGAAGCCCAGCCCTGTGGAGGCCAATGGGAGCCTGAACTTCCCACATTGGACTCTGACCTGCTGTGTGACCTCCGGCAGGTCACCGTCTCTCTCTGCACCATGGATTTGTCTCATTGGTAAAGTGGAGCAGAACCATGCCTTTGGCCACCAGACAGACAGACAAATTCATTGGCAAGGAACAAATGAAAAAAAAAACGTAAAAAGGGGCTATGCTCATTAGTGTTTAGTCATTAACATTGACTGTAACCACGGTGTGGTTGGAGTCAGGTTTACCCTTTTATTACTGATTCTGTGCTCATCTCCACTTTGTTTCTCTTTCCCTGCCTTCTTTTCAATTAGTTAAATCTATTTTTTAGAACTTCATTTTTGTTCATCTGTTGTCATTTAGCTGTACTTCTTTGTATTAGTTTTTTTTATTATCATTTTAGGTGCTCCACCTAACGATTACAAAACATATCCTTAACTTGTAACCTTGTGTCTGTGTAGGTCCACTCTCTGCCCTCTCTTACTGTCCTCTGTTATAGTTGTCATATGTATTATTACATCTACATACATTACAAACTCCACAATGCAATATCATATTTTTTTGCTTTAAGGAATCTGATGTATCTTAAAGAAAATAAAATGAGAAATAGAATCTTAATTAAAAAAATAAATGGGCTGGGTGAGGTGGCTCATGCCTGTAATCCTAGCACTCTGGGAGGCCGGGGCAGGAGGATTGCTTGAGCTCAGGAGTTCAAGACCAGCCTGAGCAAGAGTGAGACCCCCGTCTCTACTATAAATAGAAAGAAATTAGCCAAACAACTAAAAATAGAAAAAATTAGCCAGGCATGGTGGCGCATGCCTGTAGTCCCAGCTGTTCGGGAGGCTGAGGCAGGAGGATCACTTGAGCCCAGGAGTTTGAGGTTGCTGTGAGGTAGGCAATAGAGACTCTGTCTCAAAAAAAATAAAAACAAAAAAACTTTAGTTAGTGTATCAATATTATTTTGTAACAGATGTACAGTACTAATGCAAGCTGTCAATCATAGGGAAACTGTGTGGTAGGGCGAGGTTATGTGGGAACTCTGTACTTTCTGTTCAAATTATCTGTAAACCTAAAACTGCTCCAGAAATAGTTAATAACTTTTTTTTTTTTAAAAGGTCCTTCTGGCCAGGCACGGTGGCTCAAGCCTGTAATCCTAGCACTCTGGGAGGCTGAGGCAGGAGGATCACTTGAGACCAGCCTAAGCAAGTGCCAGACCCCTTCTCCACCAAAAATAGAAAAATTAGTCAGGCATCATGGCACACATCTGTAGTCCCAGCTACATGGGAGGCTAAGGCAGGAGGATCACTTGAGCCCAGGAGTTGGAGGTTGCTGTGAGCTAGGCTGACACTGTGGCACTCTACTCAGGGCGACAGAGAGACTGTCTCAAAAAAAAAGCCATTCTGTGGACTGTTTTATTTATCTAAAAATCCTTTATTCATTTAATCATTGATTCCAAGGTAGTGCATCCATATTTTTTTTATTCTACAGTGAAAGGTGTATTTGGGGCAAAATAAGGGGCTGAGCTGAATGGCTTTGTAGGGTACAGAAATTAGAAGACACCGTGGGTCAATCAGAGTTAGAGAGAGAAGTGAGCAAGACTTGAAACTTCTTGGGAAAAAAGAAGATATCTACAGAGGAAAGACTTTGGGGGTGAAAGAAGTGTTTAAGTGGTTTGGAGAGGTATTTAAGTTCTTTGCTATGGGATGTGTGGGATGTAACCTCATCTTCTGTCTTCCATAGGTAAAAGTCAATAAAGTCTCTATCATTCTCTAATGCTTTTGTTCCAGTAGATTATTTGGAGGATTTCAATAGATGTAGAATTCTTCATCCAGGTTTTCAAGGTGAAAAGACAAAGGTTATTTCTGGGCATGCTGGAGGTAGAGGGCAAAGGGCGGACAGCTGATATCTGGGTCACTGAAGAAAGCACAGGAAGCTCTAGAGTTCCAGTTAAAGATGATGGATTGAACCACATACAACTCTACTTTTTCCTGAAATCCCTCTAAAACAATGAGTAAAAAAACACTTTAACATAAAACTTCAAAATCAAAAAGTTATAGAAAAAGACAAAGACCACCCAAGCGAGAACAGAGGCAATTTATTCAGAGCTCGCCATAGCAAGGAGATAGTCACCATACTGATTGGCAGAGACTTGAAGGGACTACAAACACTTTATAGTGTGGTACAAAAAAGGGAAGTCTTCAGACATGCTCAGGTTGGAGGTCATTGTCATAGGACAGTTTCAGGTTGGTTAACTAGAAGCCAGGCTTCTTGTATAATTGGTTCGGTGTTCTCTGGTTGGTCCTGTGTTGGAAGTGGGAACAACATATAGGGCAGCTGACTCATTGACCAAGTCCTGACCATGCTGGCTGATTGCAGATATTATTATGGGTCAGAGTTCTGTTGTCATATATGGTCTGACTACTGTCTGTTTATATAATCAGTCTCTCAGAGAACAGAAGAGGAGATCAAGTCACTAACATTTTGGAAGCTGGAAAACTGGACAATAGGAATTGACTTAGCAGATGTGTCACCTATTGAAGGGGGTGGCCAAGAGCAAGCCTAGTTTGTTCCAGACAACCACCAGAGGTTCAAGGATTGGCAGCACCAGGTACCTCAAGAAGGGATAAAGTTGGGACTAAAATCAGAACAGTTGGTTCACAGTCTATTTCAGAAGCTTTAGACCACCAATCTTATTCCCCATCCCAAGAGACTGCGCCTCCTGGGCCCAGCAGAAAACTCAGGATTGATTCCCTGGAAAGGATATAGAGGATACCTTGTCTAGTTAAGGGTATGGGGTGCCATACTAAAAACATGAGAATTCAGTGAAAATCACTTACTTTCAAGACTCCTGCCTGACTGCCCTAAATCAGCAGCTAATGTTAGAAGCCCAGTGGTAAAGAAATTTTTTCAGATCTTTTTTTTTTGTGAGCTTATATCAAAATGCCATTACCATCTTATAGCAAGGGAGGAGGCCTATAGGGCAAAATGTGAAAGACTTACATGGATGAAAATATTACTGGGAAATGGGCTGGGCCTGGTGGCTCACACCTGTAATCCTAGTACTCTGGGAGGCCGAGGTGGGTGGATTGTTTGAGCTTGGGAGTTTAAGACCAGCCTGAGCAAGAGTGAGACCTCGTCTCTACCAAAAATAGAAAGAAATTAGTTGGCCAACTAAAAATATATAGAAAAATTAGCCAGGCATGGTGGTGCATGCCTATAGTCCCAGCTACTCGGTAGGCTGAGGCAGGAGGATCCCTTGAGCCCAGCAGTTTGAGGTTGCTGTGAGCTAGGCTGATGCCATGGCACTCTAGCCCGGGGAACAGAGGGAGACTTTGTCTCAAAATAAATAAATAAATAAGATTATTGGGAAATGGAAAAGCACACTGTTTTATGCATATCCTCCCAGTTTGTCAGATTCTATGAGGTATATGCCTTCCATTGTCTTTAAGCTATTTAACAATTCTAAAGAGATAAAAGTTAACTTGTAGAAAACTGAGAGTAAGATAATTATTGTCTTAGACATTCGAATAAATCCTGTGAAGTTTCTATTGACTTTCCTTCCTCACTGGAATAAGCCAGCTTTGCATCTATTAAGAAAATTGATTTCAGCATTTCTGATGGGTTTATGTATTTTCCTTTGAGCTAATTTTGAGCTGACGTTTTTTTCCCAGTTTCTTCATTAATTAATGAGTTAAATATAATCTTTGGCTTGTATTAATTTGATATCTGCATGAGAGTCATGATTTTACCTCTGTTTTTAAAAAAATTATTATCCTTTAATGAGTTCAATTCAAATATTCCCTTTTGGTAGGGATTTTTTTTTTTTTTTTTTTTTTTGGTAAGACAGAATTTCACTCTGTTGCCCAGGTGAGTGCTGTGGTGTCAGCCTAGCTCACAGCAACCTGAAACTCCTGAGCTCAAGTTATCCTCCCGCCTTGGCCTCCCAGAGTGCTAGGATTATAGGCATGAACCACCACGCCCTGGCCTAGTAGGGATATTTTAGAGGAAAAGAGATTGTTTAGAAACTCATTGTTGGATTAGATGCAAAAAAGAATAGAATATTTGGTAAAAGTCATTCACTGCGCTCAACTGAAAGATGGGGTGGGTGGATGACTGGTTTCTTAGAAGTTTTCGTTCTATTAGTGTATCAGAAAATTGTGTAGGCATTTTATCAGAAATTCTAATTTCTTCCTAGAAGGAAGCTATTAATTACATCATGTAAAAAGATTACATCCTAGTCCAGGATGATTCCCAAATCTCCAGTCCAAAGCTATGTCTCTAAATACATACTACAGTCAGAGATCAAGGTAGTAAGTAATGCTGATAGTATGTACCCTTAATACGATTCAGTGAGAATGACATTTTACCTCTATGGCTTTCTTCCCAAAGAGCACTAACCCCAGTCTAATCATGAGATAAACATCAATCAAAACCCAACTGAGTGGCATTCTACAAAATAATTGACCAGTATTCTTTAAAACCATCAAAGTCATCAAAACCAAGGTAAGTCTGAGAAACTGTCATGGCCAAGAGGAACCTAAGGAGACCAAATGACTAAGTGTAATGTGATATCCTTGATGGGATCCTGGAACAGAGAATGGACATTATGAAAAAGGTAAGACAATCTGAATAAAGTATGGACTTTAGGTAATAATAATGTATTAATTAATATTGGTTCATGAATTGTAACAAATGTACCACACTAAGATAAGATATTAATAACAGAGGGTGTGGGGTATATAGGAACTCTCTTTACTATTTTAACAAGTTTTCTGTAAATCTAAGTATATTTTAGAATTAAAATTTTATTAACATAATTAAAAACACAGTGTAGACCCAATGATCACAATGAGCAACAGGATTGAAGTGGTATTCAGAAAGTTTTAGGCTGGATGTAGTGGCTCATGCCTATAATCCTAGCAGTCTGGGAAGCTGAGGCAGGAGGATCGCTTGAGTCCAGGAGTTAGAGGTTGCTGTGAGATAGGCTGACGCCATGGTACTCTACTCAGGGCAACAGAGTGAGACTCTGTCTCAGAAAAAAAAAGAAAGAAAGTTTTAATATGTAAACATCTTAGGCCTTTCTGACATCAATTTACTGATCCTGTCTAGGCCTCACATTCCTCCACAATGAAGTGCAAATGGTCCCCGGCTACCCCATCCTCTAACACCGTGATCCCACAGTGGAGGGGATGGGCATGTCCAAAGTGTGCATGATGATCCATTAGGATGCTGGAAGAAAATGTTAGATTTCTATTTATATATATATATTAGTTGGCCAATTAATTTCTTTTTATTTATAGTAGAGACGGGGTCTCACTCTTGCTCAGGCTGGTTTCAAACTCCTGACCTCAAGCAATCCGCCCGCCTCGGCCTCCCAGAGTGCTAGGATTACAGGCGTGAGCCACCTCGCCCGGCCTCTATTTATATTTTTTAAATCTAAAAGAAATTCAGCTTTGCTAATATTTAATATACAGATAGATGCTGGCATCCTTCTTTGGTCTGGATGCCAGCTGGTTATGAATCATTTTGATGTCTTGAGAGAGAGATAGGAGTTACACAGCACAGATGGAATGATAACGGTGCTTTCTCATATTACATTTTTTGTGCTTAGGGTATGACATCAGTACATAAATTTTGCAGAAATAAGACTTTTACATAGCAGAATCTTTATAATACAGTAGTCTATGATGAAATGGTGATTGATTATAAAGATATTTGGCTTCACTCAGAGGTATGCTAGGCATTTCTTGTCAGATTATTAAAATAGTTGTCAGAATCTATAAATAACTTGTACTTTTCTTTTACAAAAAGGCAAGCATTTGAAATTTGCTAACTTTTTCGATGGTAATAAGGTGCTGTCAGTAGTATGCTATTTTACAAATACTAAGAAATGATATTTTAAATTCCTCATTCCTTCAAGGTAGCGTTGATATTTTGACAAGTGAGAAAACAGCTGCTTTTTGGAAAGCTATTACAAAAGAATATTTTGAAAAATGATATTTGAAAGTCTTTCTATTTTGGTACAATTTATTTTGTTTGTCAAAAATATACACGTATATAACTTATTAAAATGCTCATATTTGTACATATAAAACATTGGAAACAGTTTCTACTATGTTTAAGAGTCTTCCAAAAAAAAAAGACACAGATTCAGTGGATTTTAAATATTAAATACATTTATTAAAAATATAAAAATTTAATGTCTTCTGATTAATTGCAAATGCAACTCATTGACACCTTGAAAGATAAAAATTAACTAGCTGAATTTTAATAAAAAAACCTTCACAAAGGCCAGACATGGTGGTTCACATCTGTAATCCTAGCACTCTGGGAGGCCGAGGTGGGAGGATTGCTCAAGGTCAGGAGTTCCAGACCAGCCTGAGCAATAGTGAGACCCCATCTCTAATAAAAATAGAAAGAAATTAGCCAGACAACTAAAAAGAGAAAAAATTAGCCTGGCATGCCAGCGCATACCTATAATCCAGGTACTTAGGAGGCTGAGGCAAGGTTCCTTGAGCCTAGGAACTTGAGGTTACTGTGAGCTAGGCTGACGCCATAGCACTCTAGCCTAGGCAACAGAGCAAGACTCTGTCTCAAAAAAGGAAAACCTTCACAAAGTTAGTAGATGGGAGTAAAAAATTAATTTCATTATTGAGTAAGCCCTATTCTTCCATTTAAATCCTTTATATTTTTTTCAGTTTTATTTCCATTAAAACCAAATAATGAACTAAATGGATCATAGAAACAAAAGTTTGAAGTAACATCATAGTGTGCTAAACTACTATTTCAAAAATAAGGCCGGGTGCGGTGGTTCACGCTTGTAATCCTAGCACTCTGGGAGGCCGAGGCAGGCGGATTGCTCGAGGTCAGGAGTTCGAAACCAGCCTGAGCAAGAGTGATACCCTGTCTCTACTATAAATAGAAAGAAATGGGCCAACTAATATATATAGAAAAAAATTAGCCAGGCATGGTGGCACATGCCTGTAGTCCCAGCTACTTGGGAGGCTGAGACAGCAGGATTGCTTGAGCCCAGGAGTTTGAGGTTGCTGTGAGCTAGGCTGACACCATGGCACTCACTCTAGCCTGGCCAACAAAGCGAGACTCTGTCTCAAGAAAAAAAAAACATAGTCAATCAGGTTGCTCTTTTAAAAAGTTAGCAGGAGTGGCTGGGCACAGTGGCTCATGCCTGTAATCCTAGGGCTTTGGGAGGCCTCGACAGCAGGAGGCTCACTTCAAGCAAGAGACCCAGACCAGCCTGGAAACATAGCAAGACCCCCACCTCTACAAAAAATAGAAAAATTAGCCTGGCCTACTCTGGAGGCTGAGGCAGAAAGATTGCTTGAGCCCAGAAATTTGAAGTTGCAGTGAGCTATGATGATGCCACTGCACACTAGCCTAGGCAACAGAGTGAGACCCCTTCTCAAAAAAGAAAAAAGTTAGTAGGAAAAGAAAAGAAAAAAAGAGGTTTTTGTATAGATAATAAACAAAATTGTTTATACACAAATATAAATTTGTATATTTTTAAATACATAAAAAAGGCGGGGGGGCCAGGCATGGTGGCTCACGTCCATAATCTTAGCACTCTGGGAGGCCAAGGAGGGAGGATAGCTTGAGCTTAGGAGTTCGAGACCAGCCTGAGCAAGAGGGAGACCCCGTCTCTACTAAAATAGAAAAAATTAGCTGGGTGTGGTGGCACATGCCTGTAGTGCCAGCTACTCTAGAGGCTGAGGCAGGAGGATTGCTTGAGCCCAGGAGTTTGAAGTTGCAGTGAGCTATGATGATGCCACTGCACTCTACCCAAGGCAACAGAAGGGGACTGTCTCCCAAAAAAAAGAAAAATTTAGAGAATAAATTTCAACAAAGGTGGAGTTGTTATTCTTTTGCTTTCCACTCCTGTTTCCAGACTGTCATTCTCTCACCTGTAACTTCCATGCTCAGTCAAACACTGTGGCCTATCGTTCCTCTCTACCAGAAGCCCTGCCATTATGCAGGGTGACTTCAACAATTAAAAGGATGACCCATCTACTAGTGCCCTGATGACTCATTTCCCTGATCTTCTTAACATCCTTCTCACCTGCATAGCCCACACCTTTCATCACCCTTGGACCTTGTCATCATCTGTAATCTGCCACTTCCAGAATCTCTAATTCAAGCATCTTCTTTGACCACAAACTCCTCTCCTTCCAACTTGCCTATGTTAGGGCTCAGGACACACTACCCCAAAATAGGGCATCTTGGCATATTGAATATTTTAAGCTGAAGGAATTTGAGAAAATGGCAGAAGCAGGAAGGTCATTTTCACTCCTCCTCCTCTTATGAGGTAGGTAGGTCATAACACTTAGAAAGGGTTTTTCTGACCTTCCCCTAAGACCCTCATTGAAGAGGTGCTCTCTGTATACCCAGTGGAAAGGAACATCCTTATCTCTGAAGACACAGGGACACAGAGAAGAATCTGAACAGGCCTTGCTAAGTCCCCTCACCCAGTTTATTACCATTATATGGTATCCCCCCTTTCCAATTATATTTCTCTACTCTTCATCAAACTTAGCATAAAAATACACATGTTTAACTGCTTCTTGGGTCTTCATTTCCTTATGTGTGCTTTTCTCTTGTTAATCTGTCATTTGTTGTGGAGCCTCAGCCATGAACCCAGGATGGGTGAGGAAAAGATATTAACATTTTTTCCCTCTTACTCCTGTTAACTACTCCTTCGACTTTCACCTCATTGGGATGCTCATTCATTGACCCTCATGAGCTCTTTCAATTCTTTTCTTATCTTCCCTCCTGATCTAGCTTAGATTCCATGGTCTCTGATTTCACTATTTTGCCAAGATTCTAAACTCCATTGTTCTTCAATTTTTTTCACTTCATCCACCTGGAAACCCTCCAAACTCTAATGAACCTAATTATCTACTTTCTATATGACCCTGGTTGTGGGTAGTTTGTGCACTGCTCTATTGTAAAAAGCCATACAATAGGGCAGATTGGTTGGAGAGAAACTCCAACTGAGCTCTCAACATTACCCAAGCTTGGCCATCTCACTCCCCTAGTTTTTACTGTTTATGCAAACCTTCCCTCTCTCATTGATTCTGGTTCTCACTTCCTTACCCCACTCTCAGTCGATGACCTTACCTTTCTTCTTTACAGAAAAATTAGAAACCATCATTTGGCAGTCCACACGTTCTTACTACCTTACCTTCACCTGCACTCCTGTTGTCCTTTGCTCCTGTTTTAATGGAGAAACTATTCTTCCTCCTAATTGGAGCCAAATTCTCTTCCTTGCTTTGGATCCTGTCTGCCCTGCCTTCTCAGAACTCTACCCAGTAGACTATAGTGATACCTCAGTATCCATGGGAGATTGGTTACAGGATCCCTCTTGAATACCAAAATCCATGGATGCTCAAGCCCCTTATATAAGACGGTATTGTATTTGCATATAACCTACATACATCTTACCAAATACTTTAAACCATTTCTAGATTACTAATACCTAATACAAGTGCTATGTAAATAGTTGTTATATTGCATTCTTTAGAAAATGATAAGAAAAAAGGTCTATACATGTTCAGTACAAATGCAACAGTCATTTTCATTTTTTCAAATATTTCCCATCC